GGCTTGGGGCTAAAAGCCCTAATGAATAATTGTCCTAAGATTTCCTACTTAATCTGGTACTTTCTTCTTCCCCAAAAACAGGAAGGTTTTGTCCGGATTCCTTACTATCTTGAATTTTTTCTATTTTACCCGGAACAAGGTTATTTTGGCCCTACACGGTCCCGACTCGTATAAAATGCCTTCTAAACCTAATTTGACGGATATCTAGCATATTTTGGGGGAAAAGAACGTAGACCACATTGGGAGGAGACTTCTAATTAGTTTTTCTCTCTTCTCTTCTCTTCCTTTAATCTCATAGTTTATTAGTTCTAGGGTTGTGGGTGCTACATGAACGTTGTAGTTTGAAGATTGGATTATTCTTATTAATTTATTGTATTAGTCTATTTATGCAATCATGTGCTTAATTATTTGATTGTTTGATCACTAATTGAATACTATCTATAGATCTAAGATTGAACCATGAGTTTGATATTCAACGTGTTGCGAGTTTGATATTCAACATGTTATTGAGGAAGCATCCTGGTATTGTTGTTACACATGCTACAAAAGGAAGAAGATATGTAACAAGTACAATTGTTTCACTCTGAGTTTTAGATTCAATTGCATGATCTTCCTACGGGTTACATGTTTGAGGCAATTGCTAAATAAATTGACACTTTTATTGGGTCCTTCTTAGTTATGATGCTCGGAAAATTACTGAAAGACATAATGTTTTATGCGAATAAGGGTTCGGAATGATATTCGAGAGCCGTTGAAATGTTCTAAGAATATTTCTAGGCGTGGAGAAAATATTGCTACTATCACTAATTTTTTATAAAATACTGCTATTGTTTTACCTTATTTCTGGTTGTTTGCGACATGGAGATAGCACTTGTGAGACTAATTTCATGTTACCATAGGACAAGATAGTTAAAAATTAGAGGTCTTCGCTCATGGCATAGCTCCAAAGTAGAGGGTGCAGGCGATAGTGCCATGGTTAGATGAAGATGATGCAGATAAATGTTGCTGTATTGATCCTTCCTTTTCTTTTCTTGATAAAATTTTCAATTGTGCTCGGGTCATCAAGGATTAGAGCAAAGGGTGATCATAACTCTGGGAAAAAATTGAAAGAATTCTATGATCATCGTAAGAGTATTCATCCTAGGTATGATTTGATAACATAGAAGTAGTTAGTAAACTGAAAAATAATTTTAATGATGTCTTGCTACAAGAGAAATCTTTTTTGAAGAAGAGAGCTAAAAATTTCGGGCTATAATTTGCTGATAATAATGCCATATTCTTCCATATCCAAATATTAAAGCACAGGAGGAGAAATCAAATAGATTCCTTAAAAGATGAAAGCGGGCACTTAACTAGTAACTCAAAAAGATAATATTCACGCGTTGATTGTCAATTATTACTCTAATTTATTTGACTCAAGCTCCAAGAATTATGCGCTAGTGATTAGCATGGCGAGTAGAAGGATTTTAGGTGATGATAACAATTTGTTATTGGCTCTATTTTCTCATGAGGAGTTTCACAAAACTGTTTTTCATATGCATTCAGATAAGCCGCCACAGCCTGATGGTATAAATCCTAATTTTGGTATTTGACTGGGCATGAGTTTTCGGAGGCTTGCAGGTACCTGATTAAAAAAAAATCTTTTCCCGCCTCACTACATGAAACCATTATTGTCTTATACCAAAAAAGCAGGATAGTTCAACTCTTAAGACTTGCATCTTATTGCATTAAGTAATATTTTATACAAATTTATTATTAAAGTACTTGCTAATATGCTGAAGTCTCTATTTTCAAGAATTACCTCGTTAACTCAGTCAGCTTTTGTGCCTGGACAGTTAATTTCCGACAATGTGTTAATAGCTTTTGAAGTAATTCATCACATGAAATGTCAGAGGTGGGGTGACAAAGATGAGATGGATCTGAAAATTGGTATTAACAAGGCTTATGATAGAGTAGACTCGGGATTTTTTAAACTATCATGTTAAAGTTGAATTTTGATCCAAATTCGGTTCACCTTATTATAATTTGCATGACTTCTGTGAGTTATAAAATTTCTTTTAATGGGGAGGAGATTGAGATGATTATTCCAAGGAGAATCCTTAGGCAAGTTGATTATTTATCTCCTCACCTATTTATTGTTTGTACGAAAAGATTGTCCGAATTATTTATTTTGTTATACAGAAAGTTCAGGTGTTATCCATGATAGTCGGATCTGCAGAAGAGCTCTTAGTGTATCTCATCTTCTGCTTTCAAATAATTTTGTTTCTTCTTCCGTGCTACAAACAGGAAAAGTGATAATATTAATAATATTTTATCTATTTATGAGAAAGCTTCGGAAGTTGAATTTTGATAAACTTGAAGTTTTTTCAGTACTAATGTGAGGAAAGATGCATAACTTGCTTTATCTACTGAATTATAGTTTTTTTTACCCCAATGATCATAACATTTATTCGAGCTTACCTTCACCAATTGGTAGGATTAAGACTCTAGTTTTTTCTTTTCTTAGACATGGTGAGGAACACGTTTTTTTGTTGGGATATTTTTTTTCTAGGGCAAGAAAAGAGGTTTTAATTAAGTCAGTGGCTCAAGCTATTCCTTCATCATGGTTGTGTTCCTTACTCCACCCTCTTTATGTGATGACCTGAAGAAAATTATAAACTCTTTCTGGTGGGGTTCAAAGATTGGGAAGCAAAGAAAGATGCATTGGCTGTCCTGACAGCGCTTTTATAGGGAAAAAAAGATTTGAGGTATGAGTTTTCGTAACTTGCACTGTTTTAATATCGCTCTACTTGGGAATAAGTGTTGGAGATTTCTCACTATCCCGAAAGATCTTCTTTGTCAAGTCCTTAAAGCTAAATATTTTCATTTAGAGAATTTTCATGAGCCCAATTAGACCAGAATTCTAGTTACTTGTGAAAAATCATATTGCATTCTAAGGAGCTATTGCAAAATGTATCAGGTGGAGAGTGAGAAATGATAAAAAAATAAATTAGTATTAGTAATGACCCTTGGCCGCTTTAGATGATAAATTTTTTCCCAAAATCATTCTATGCGGAAACTCAAAATATGCAAGTCAAAGATCTGTTTTGTGAAACTAGCAGAAGGTAGGATTAAGATAACATTTTTTCTATATTTGACATAGAGGAGCAAAAATAATTTGCAGTATTTCGTTTAGTGTAAGAGGTGAGGTTGATCGCTTAATTTGGCATTTTATAAAAAAAAAGACGATCTTATATGATTAAATCAGGTTATCAAATTTGTTATTCTCTCTCGAGCTTTTGACCTTTGTTGGTATTTGTTGACGGGAAGAAACTTTGGCACTTGAAGTTACCTCCAAAGATATTATTTGAAGGTTTGCCCTTAGTGGTTCAAGACACCCTTTCGCTTGCGTAAGCAACGACCCCTAGCGTCCAGAGCAAGCGCTTTTAGTATTCCCGACCGCCTGCCTTTCGGCCTTAGCGTTCCAAATAACCAGTAGTGTGACCGATCTGTGTTCAAAACAATCGATGAGGCTAGCGACGACTCGTGGTTTGCTCGAAGTATTCTGCCTACTATTTACTAATTTTGCCTACTAAGTCCAATTTACTAGCTATATGATTAGTCCAATTGATATTACTAACTTGAGTGTCGAAATACTCGAATCTGATCAGCATATTATTTATTTAGCAAAAGATGCAACGTCATATAATTGCATCAATTGGACATTGGCTACACTCCAATTAAAGGGATGAAGTTATGTCAAATACTTTTGGAATCATAAAAATAATAATATCGGGACACCTCTTTTTGGCATCTCAAAATCCTCTTGTTAGTAGGCATTTGGACATAAAAATTAGTAGTATGACTTTTTGAAAAAGTAAGAGTTAAGTTCAAAAATAGTATTTGAAATTTGAAATTATGTTTGAACATGTATGTCATCGAAAAAATATTGCAGTTTGTGTTCAAAAAACTCATCTTAGAAAATCTCAAAATACTTAGCAAATTTCATGGACAAACAAGTTTCAAAATAATTTGAAAAAAAAGAAAGAAAAATAATCTACGGATAAACGGGTCCTAGTCTCCAACGTTTTTTAAGAAATAGTCAAATAGGGAAAGAAAAAAATCTTATCGAAAGGAACCGACTAATGCCTACATATTTTGCATGCTGAACTATTAGCCTATTTGCTGGACTAGAACTAGCTTTATAAAAAAAAATTATTTTCTCTAATTGTGGAGCATATACTTAAGTATTAGGCAATTTATTTTCTATAGCTACTACTTTCTGCTGATACATTGTTAATGTAGCAGTTTTCTTCTTGACGCCGTAGGCATTGATATCTTCCATATCTTTAGGGAGATAAATGATATAGGAGACAAACTTGCACAATATGGAAGAAGTTCTATTCCGCTCAATTTGAAAGAATACATTGTCATATTCCGCTCAACTTGCATAAAGACTACGCTGAATTAACTATTGATAGGCTATCAATTACAATTATCACATTCAATTATTTGTAATAACCACATTTTAGATTCCTAGTTTCCCGTTTCTAAGCAAGAAAATAAAATAAAAATTAATGTAAATAAAAATAGCAGATGCATTTTTGATTATGGTTGTTATAATATGGCCAGCTTGCAAATTTAAAAGAATCATATCGCACATACTCAAATAACTTGTACAAAACTGCCACTTTTACTTTCTGTATTCAGAAATACAATGGTCTCCAATAATTTTCGAGAAATAACCAACTAGGAATATACAAAAGTATTGTCTAAAAAAACAAACTAAATACTCCAAAAATAAAAGAATTTTCAAGATAATGAGTATTATAATATAAACTTACTCATATTGGATATTCACATAAAACCATACCAACTCATCATAATTGAGTGATTTATGGAATATATTTCAACTAATCATAATTAAATTAAAGATTCTATCACCATCTGGCAAATTCATAACGGACACATACCTCAAATAGCTGGAAGTGCAATATAAAAAAGCCAGTACAAAACTGCCACATTTCACCTCTCTTTGTTCCTCTATTTCTCTCATTTCTCTTTCCCTTGGCTTTTTTCCCTCTCGCTTTCCGTCCCCATTTTCCGCACAAAACTCAACACAGCCCTAAATCTCAAATTCCACTTGAAACGCCATTTCCACTGTAAGAAGTAAGAACTAATACCTTTCACCGCAAATCTCTCTCTTTATATTCAAATCATTCTTTTCCTTTTTGCGTTCTGTTTTATCTTACATTTTTTGTAATTTCTTTTGGCGATTTCTTTGTTTTTGTTTTTTCAGGTAAAATCAATAAGCATTTAGGGTTTTGAACACCAAATTCGCTGATAACGAATCAAAATCAAATCCTTCTTCGGGAAATTCTCAGGTTAGTTGTTGAATTCCACCAATTTATAGTAAAATGGTTAAATATTTTTTCACTCATTTTGAATTTTTTAAAATTGTGTTCTGCCTTCTTATTGCATATGCTGATGATACATGTATATGTTAGGTGTATGGGCATGTGTACGTGTAATATATACTTAGTATGTTTGTTCGTACCTATGCATTATTTTTTTCCTCTCCAATTTTCGGTGGTTGATTTTTGTGATGTCAGCTTCATGTTATTTTAATGTTGAATTATCCTCTCCTAAAAACTAATTTATTTGTGGAAATTTGACTTTAGTTTATTTCACCTTATATTCCTAATGTGGATAGTATTTTATACTTAGTTTTTCTTTTTTCTCTTTTCTAATGTGGATAGTATTTCACCTTATTTTATATTCCTAATGTGGATAGTATTTTATACTTAGTTTTTCTTTTTTCTCTTTTCAGGTTGTTGTTACGTTTGTAAATTTAATTCAATTTGAGGTAAAAGGTTAACTTTTTTTTACTGCTTTTGAATCTTTTTTGATTGCCTTTTTCTGGTTTATGATATTTCTGACTGCGTATGCAGATGATACATGAATATAGTGTATGTGTGTGTGTGTAGATAGATAGACATATATAACGTGTTACTTCAATTCATGTTCCATAATGTGTAGTAGTTAAAACTTGTCATCTCATCTTTTTCCTTTCTGGTTTTTTTTCAGTTATGGTGAATGGTCAGGTTCTCTGATAAGGCTCCTTGGCTCTTGAGGAGTGGAATATACTAGCCTGCCTCAGTCTGTAACTAATTTTTGTAGTAAACTGGAGCTCATTTCACTATGTCGGGATTCAATCGCAATGGAGTCAATTTGATCAACTGCTTCTTTCATTTTTCTGAATGGCATCCACTTGAATAGCAAAGTCAACAGGGGCTTGAAGCCCATATCAAAATTTTCCCTTTTAAGAGTATCATACTACTTTTACCTTTCTTTATAATCAAGGATCATACTGCTTTTATCTTTGGATTGGTATGTGAATTGAGTTGCATATTGATTTGTAACAAGATGCATGCTAATTTTCAGGTGTGGGGATCAAATTGTTATCGGGTTGTATAGTGTAGTCATTACAACTTTCTGTAGTTTCTTGATGTTTGTGAAGGGGCATTCTGTTGCTAAAGTGACAGAAATGGGGTGCTGTGGGTGTTTTGGGTTCTGTTTTGCTAGGAAACCAAAGAGGGTGGGAAGGCCCAATTTGGGATTGTCAAATAACTGTTCTCAGGAGTCTTTGCTATATGAAGAGGGGGAGGAAGAAGATGGTTGCTCCTACAATGGTGATGTAACTGATACTGGTATTGGGGATGATGGTGAGTATCGCTGCCCAGTCAAACGCTCTGAAGAGATTCTCATGTACAGAGCTCAAAATGGGTTGGTTTGCAGGGAGATCCCTGTCAAGGAAACCCACAAAGTCATACGGGATGAGGTAATAGGAGAATATAAGATCTTTTTAACACTTACGGCAAACAAAGTATCCGTGTATAGCTGGAAAATGGAAATGTTTGAACCTTCATTTAATTTAATAGACGTGAAAATGATGGTTACTAATCCCCTCCACTCGATGCTTCCACTTCAGCTCAGCTTCCATCGAGCTATAGATGAGTAGGTTTGGCTGTCCTGATAGGTGCTTTTTTTCTCCCCTAAAGTCAGGACTAAGAGGCCTTCTTGTTTTTCTTTCTAAGACATTCATATATTAAAGCTTCTCCTTTTGGGAAATTCCTCCGATAATTGATGTGAAGCATATCTTTTTACTCATACAAAAAAATCAAGCCCAGAACAGACAAATGAACATATTAATTTTTAACATCTTAAGATATCTGATAGGAGAAATATACTTCCCTGATAGCATATGCTTACCTATTAAAAAAGGTAAACCAGAGCAGGCATTTTAATTTTTAATATCTCCAAAGATGTCTGGTTGGAGAAATATACTTACTTATGTTGCTATTAACTTGTTTTTGATAAGAAAAGGTTGAGTTCTTGCTAGTGCACCCACAACACCTTTTAATTTGCTATTAATTTTTTGTAATATACATTTGTATGTTGAGCCAACTGAAGTGGCATGCTCTATTGCATGGTTATCCTTTTATGCAGCTATTTTATCGCATTATTTATCTTCTCTTGTACAAATGCAATTATTGAAGTGGCACGCTCTATAAGCTTTGTATGGTCAACCTTCTATGCAGCTTTTCTAAAAAGAAAAAGCGGTTGACCTTCTATGCAGCTATTTTGTAACATTACTTTTCCTGGTGTTACTCATGGATGTAATTGTTCCAGGATGAAGATGGGAAAAAGATGGTTAATGAGTATGTACGTGAATATAAGATTGGTTCTGGTAGCTATGGAAAAGTGGTGAGCTGATTGCTACTGGTGTTATGTTACCATTTTTAATTGAAGGAATTTCGGTTAAATATCTTGTCACCTTGCAATGACAGGTTCTATATCGGAGCCGTACTGACGGAAAACATTATGCCATTAAGGTAACATTATACGATATTTCAATTTAGTAACAAGAAGTAAATTTTTATGATTTCATCTTATTTGGCTGTTGATACATGACTTAGCTTAAAGCATGCATTTCCTTTACCTGCACTCTTGATCTTATGTACAACTTCTGTTCTCATGTGTAAATCAGATTGCTTTAAACATAGAATTTGAGGTTTAAAATTTAATATGCCTTTTTGTTACAGTTCTCTTTAATGGGTTGCTAGATTCATGATGAAATTTGTTAAGTTATACTAGAGAATACTCACCATCAAAGTCAGGTCATTTTCATCCTTTCATTGATCGCTGGGAGGGAGGGATTAATTAACTATTTTATCCATGACCACTAGTTCTATTAGTAATTATTGTTGTGGAAGAATAGATGGAAAAAGGATAAGAAGTGAACTATTTTGTATGAATAGGTGGTTTTAGAATAATGACTGTTTGTCATTGATATTGGCTTAGTTGGTCTCTCAAATAGTGGTAAGTGCTTTCAGTAATTTATGCAGGCCTTTCGCAAGTCTCATTTATTAAAATTGCGTGTGGCACCTTCAGAAACTGCTATGTCAGATGTTCTTCGTGAGGTACATGCTCTGTTCTTCCATTGAATTTTTGTTACACCTACTTTTGGGTTATCGCCAAACTTTATTCTGTAATTCGGCTATACAATGTTGAACGTGAATCTCTTGCAAATTTAGGTAAAGTGGTAAACAATATTCCATTGTGAAAATAGAAGAGGAGATTAATTTTTTGTATAATTTCTTCAGTTATATGAACACACAAATTTGTATAATCTTTAGTTATGATATAATCATTAACATCTTCCACAATTTTTAATTGCTCTATAGCATATTTGTTAAGGATAGCCCATTAAACAACAACAACATACCCGGTGTATTCTCACAAGTGGGGTATGGGGAGGGTAAAGTGTACGTAGACCTTACCCCTGCCCTTAAAAGGCAGAGAGGCTGTTTCCGGAAGACCCTCGGCTCAGGAATGAGAGAGGGGAGGGGCAATAACAAGCAAACCGATCAGACAACCAAAGCAAAAAAATACAAACCTAGCAAAAGGTAATGCAATCAGAAAACCGAAACACAAAACCAAGGATATCATTCAATGTTTTTAATGTTTATCCCGGCTTTCAGCAACCTTACTAAACTCAAGGGGGTGAAGTAGTTTGAGTGTGCTTATATTGAAATCAGGAAACACTACCAAAAGCACTGAAATAGTAAACTACCCCCTAAATAGCAATCAATCACAGGAAAGAAAAACTATGTTTGACCCCCCCTCCCCAAAGTGGTCGAACTGCTTGCACACGTGATAATGAATCTATCCTTGATCACTATAAAGAAGTATAGTGATACAATTCTCCATACCATCATTAGCGTAGTTTGACCGAAGAAAAAGTGGTCGCAGTGACTAGTTGTTCAATGCTTGGAGACGGGTCTCAATGCGCAAATTCTAATACGATGATGAAAGGAAGAAGTCCTCCCTGAAACAGTGATCGGAAATTCAATGTTCAAAAGAGGGATTTAATACCCAAACTCTAGTGCCATGAAGAAAATGAAGAGGAAAACTTTTAGAAACATTGACCAGAATTCTTATTTAGAGGAGGGACTTAGTATCAGGAATCTGATACATTGAGAAAAAACAAAAGAAGTTTTGAAAATGTTTTGCTTGAAACATCGCTTGAAGAAAGCCCCCAAGGAGGTGGCCTAGCGGTCGAAGAGTTAAGAGTGATAATTTTGGGAACCAAGTTTCAAATCCCAGCAGAGTCGATACTAGGTGAATTCTTTTGATTTGCCTAAGCTTTGGTGAACGACATCTATGCTGGCAGGAGGTAGCAGGTATCTGGTAGATTAGTTGAGGTACCTGCAAGTTGTTGTCCCAAAATAAAAAGTTGTTAGAAGAATAAATGTGATAGTCGTCAGAAGAGATAGAGATGGTGCTGATAGAATGATCACTATGAAGTAGCTCTATATTATCGGAGTGGTAATTAACAAGTGGCGAAGTTAAACAATTACTAAAAAGAAAAGTGGTTCTTCTAGAATGCTCACTTGAAAGATGCAAGAATAGTAAACTTATTTAGAATCAGAAAAGTTTGGGCTTGGTAAGCGATGGAAGGTCACCTATCAGTAGGCAGAAGCTCCTTATGTCTCTATCAAGATTGTAGATTCTCTGATATCATAAAAAGTGAAGAAAAGAAAATTCTCTTGTTAAAATTGGCTGACTAAAGACATACACGGGGCTCTATTTATTTTAAATAAGTACGGCATAGATACTTATAGGAGATCTTAGTTATATGAACTATGAGGTAAGAAATGTTTTTCTAATTCTTGGAATTCTTAATAATGAGTAGTGACCTAGTCATTAATGATAAATTCAACTGTTGTATGTCTACATTCTGCATAATATTCTTAATTTTTTCTGATAACAAGTGATATTTACACAATCTTGATGATTCTCTTGACTTTGAACCTTGGCCATAGATGAACTTGAAAATTTTGACTGTTCTACTCTATCCTTAGGCTTCTCAGTTTGATTTATCAATAAAGAACAAAAATGACTCCTCACTGTGTAAGATTTGGTAGTATTAGTCTTTATATTTGTTAAGAATGTCTGATTACTTTTGTTTTACTGTGTGCCAACTAAGTTTGAGATGGATTGATGGATTGCCCTATGTCACTCCTGTTTTATTATATGACTCAGCTACCTATTGCATTTTCTATTCTCATAAACTATTATGGCCTAAATGTTTATTCCCATTTTTACAGGTTCTGATCATGAAAATGCTGTGCCATCCCAATATAGTTAATCTTATTGAGGTGATTGATGACCCAACAACGGATCACTTCTACATGGGTATTCCTTGAACATTCCTTTTCCTATAAACCAACCTCGTTTAAATCAGTCAGCCAAGGCTTGCTCTGTATATTGAATCATATTTTGGTGAATGGAAAGAGGGAACCAAAGTATCCCAAAAAAAGGGGAATCCCAGAAAATCCTAAGCTTTTTTCCTTTTCTTTTTTGGTTTCAAACAGTTCTTGAATACGTTGAAGGAAAATGGGTCTGTGAGGGTGCTGGTCCGGCAGGTGGTCTCGGAGAACATAAGGCACAGACGTACTTGCGTGACACGGTATCCGGCTTGATGTATCTACATTCTCATGTATGACCTAGCCTTTTAGTCATGTCTTTGAAAGAAATATATTTTCGTTGAATCACGTCTCATGAGGTTTTCTGTGCATCATGACCTTTTTGTGGATTTTTCTTATTGTGATTGATCTTAAAGGCTTCATCACTAATTTATGCTAAGGGCATTCTTGAAGGCATATACTTGTGAGAAACTCCACTTCCAGTTATGTATTGGGTTAATTATGTTATCCTTGATTGACTGTTGAGTTCTAATTTGAAGTATTGGCACACTTTGACTAAATATTTATAATCTTGGTGTATGGGATTGGTAAGTTGTTCCTCATGTACAATTCCGTGCTCTATTTTAATGTGTTTGAGGAATGAAATGCTTACCTTTAATTTCTAGGTTGTTTTGGCTTGATAAAACTAGTGAAACTATCAACCAAAAGCACTCTATACAACAAGGGGGTCGTTTGGTTTATGGGTTAGAGAAAATTTAAACCATGATAGAATTTTTGCGAAATACATAGATATACCCTCAAAAATTGCCACCAGTGACTATTAACCCCATACTTTGCTTGAACTCTTCATCAAAAAGAGATGTGTTGCAAGAGAAGTCTTCCCATAGTTTCCTGATACCCTTCCATAACCCAGTACCATTAAGTGATCTAACAACATTGGTACACCGGTGACTATTAACCCCATACTTTGCTTGAACCTATCTCCTTCCAAAGGCCAACCTCTTCTTGGTTATACCTCCAGTGCCATTTCATTAACATGCTCTTGTTGTGAAGTGCTAGGTCTTTGACTCCAAGACCTCCAAGTGATTTGGGAAGTGTAACTTTGGCCCATTTGACTAAGTGGAACTTGTGGTTGGAGCTATTATCTTCCCATAGGAAAGATCTCCTAATCTTGTCAAGCTATCTTTGCACTTTGACTGGAATTGCAAAGAGAGACATGAAATAGGTAGGTATGTTGTCCAAAACACTATTGATGAGTGCTAATCTGCCACCTAGAGATAGGTACTGCTGCTGCCAAGAAGCTAATCTTTTCTCAGACTTTTCAACGACTGCATTCCAGATTTCAGTTGACCTTTGTCTAGCACCCAAAGGAAGACCAAGATATGTGGTCGGGAAGGGACCAGTGTTGCAATACATAATATCTGCCAGCTTTTTCAATTCAGGGACCACATTAACAAGGTAAATAATGCTTTCAGACATGTTAATGTGGAGACCTGACATAGCTTCAAAAAGCATAAGAGTGAGGTTAAGTTACTGAACTTGAGATTTTCTGCACCACAAAAAATTAAGGGTGTCATCTGGGAATAATAAGTGATACAGAGATGGTCAATTTTGAGTTGCTACCCACATCAAAACCTTGTAACCATTGTAGCTGCTTGGTCTATTCGAGCATTCTACTAAGCCCCTCCATGGCTAAGATAAATAGAAAGGGAGATATGGGATCTCCTTGCCTGATCCCTCTTTTAGGAGAAAAGAAGCCTATACATAATACTTCATTGTGGTGAAGCTATATCTGATCCATTTGATCAATTTCTCTCCAAATCCCATTTGCCTTAGGATTGAGATTAGATATTGCCAATTTAGTTTGTCAAAAACCTTCTCAATATCAAGCTTGAATAAAAGGCCAAGTTTCACCATTTTTTTTGCCTCCAATCTAGGACTTCATTAGCATAAGGGCAACATCAGTGATCTGCGTACTTTTAATAAATGCATTTTGGTATCCTGAGGCCAGCCTCCCAATCACCTTTTTAGACTGTCAATTAAAACCTTAGCCAGTATCTTGTAGACCTTGAATGGGCTACTCTATGGTGAATATTTAAAGTGTTGAATATCATGAATTAAATCGTAAATGATAACTTGTTGGACATGTTGAGACCGTAAAATGTTGTTGGTACGCCAAGATTTAGGTCAGTGGAGAGCTTACATCTTAAGGTGTTTTTCCTAAATTGCATGCTTTAAATACTTTCGAATAGGTTTTGAAATAGGGACTTATGCTTGTGGGTGTGCGTTGCACCATGTTTTGCAAATATGTGTGATAAATGGACCTTGATCCTAACTCAACCTCAAAAGCTAGCTTGTGAGGTGAGGATTGCCCAAGACCATATAAGGAGACCAAAGACCTCAAATCCCACCGATGTGGGACAACTCAACAATGTGCATGTGCATCAATGGACTATCTTATGAAATGATTTGTGTATCTTGAATTACTGTCATTTAAAATTATGAATATTGAAAGATATCATGTGTAACAATGCCTTAATTATTAAACACTGCATAACAATCCCTTTCTCATTAATCACCGCATAAACAGTCCCTGCATTATAATCTTGCATGACTAGTAAGTGAACCAAATGACCCTTTAAGTCATATAAGCCTTGATAAGCAAGAGATTTGCTTGTCCTCCATGAATAGTACATGGTGAAACTAGGTAAGCAGGGAGTTGCCTCGTCCACCATGGAGAGCACATGCTAAAAATAATTGGTATAAGCTCCGGCAAGCGGGAGGTTGACTTGTCCGCCATGTACATCACGTGATGAAAATAATTGGTCCATGTCCCGACATGCGGGAGTTTGGCTTGACCGACACGAACAATACATGGTGTAACATGTCGACATAAGCCTTGCTGATCGGGAGGTTGGGTCAACCACATTATATGCTTATGGTGAATTTAAGTAAGGATCTAAGTAGAACCGCCCGTAGAAAGGGAGTATGTTTATGCTTGAGGCCTAAAAAGAGATTATGTTTACACTTGAAGCCTAAGAGATAAAATATGTTTTAAAGAATTATTTCAATTGTATTAACAAATGTGTTTACCATGGCAGCTACAGCCGCAATAAAATGAGAACTGTTTACGAATTATAATATTGCTATTAAACATCTACTTTGGGTTGTGATTGTTAGATACTCTTATGCGTGTTTTCTGAAAGACTTGTCTCACATTTTGGAGGGAGTCTATGAGACTTGCTGAGTACATCATGTACTCACGTCTCTGTTATTGTATGTTTTCTTCTTTAAATTTACCGATGCAAGTGTGCAGTGTGACGGTGATACATTAGACTCAATCTTTTCCTATTCTTTGTTTGATAAGCCCCATATGATGAATTCAGTGGCGGTATTTGTATTAGTTTTTCATTCTCTTGCCTTAGCGGGTTGCATCCCGATGATATGTTGTATTCCAATATGTCTTTAGAAACATTGATCCTTCTTGTAACTTTTGCATCTTCTTGATGCTTGCAATGAAGCAACTTATTTCATAAAAAAAAAAAAGAAACTCCATGGTTACCCCGTGGGTTTCATAGTTAAATTTTGGTTAACTGCTTTGAACCCATTTTGAAATTGTCTATTCGCTCAGGTTATAAGCATAAAAGCAGCTGGTTTTCAAATTGAATACCTCTGTGCGTCCACATTACCACGGGTGGGAGTGTCACTTATTTGAAGAAGTAAAAGTTCTATCAGTGGTCCGAGTGGGATTAACATTTCTTTTCTGCACATTCATTGAGTTTTGAAAAATCCCAACAATCTCAAATATAGATAGAGAGCTAGGAATTTCGTGAAAGTCAGAAGGTGCAAGTAGCACATAATAGAGGATAAAAGTTAGAGAAACTGGTTCATTGGTGTGAAATCATTTGGAAGGAAGTTATCTTGAAAGACCTACAATCTCTGGGAATCCATGCTGACTTAATACAAAGTAGAACATAATGGAAGAAAAGATCCAAATTGGCGTGTAACCAATAGGTGTGATTAAGGTTTTGTTTGATAGGAGTCTTTTGTCGCGTTAATGATTTGTATTTCTGTCCTTTACCTTATCAAAAAATGATTTGTATTTCTGTGAAAAATGTAGAAAACTCTAGTGCTAAAGGGCCCAAATCTTCAAATTTTATTGCTGCAGGTCTAAATGGAGTGACATGGTTTTGTGAGGATTCACATAGCCTATCCTTAGTGGAGCATTATGGTCTGTAAGGATTCATATAGCCGACCCGAACTAGCTTGAAATTGTAGTGTAGTTGCTGCTATAGTTGTTAGGCTTGTCAACTACGATTAGTCTCCTTTGCAAATGGCCTTTTACTTTTGAATCTTCTTTTGTGGCCTTCTTCCCTCCCTCTTTCCCATTTACTGGGGAAGGTAGCTATTTTGACCTCAATCATGACATTGTTCATTTTAGAAATTGTTTGTTCAGCTAGTTGTAAGCATGTCATACTGCCTATGAGATTCTTTGCATAAGGGCAGGCCTTTAACTTGAGGTATTAGAAAGTCGGGGACCCAAGTGAGGGGTCACTTTCTTTCCTGCAGGGTTTATCGATATGAATACTATGTTAAATGTGAACACGGAGATGAAACCTTTGGACACACGCATTTTCTTTAGATTCCTTAAATCACGTATCACTAATTTTAAGGTTTAGCAGATACCTATATGTCATTGATAGATCACTGTAATGTGCTTTATGCAGTTTAACATATATATTTTTTCTTCTCTTGAACAGAATATAATCCATGGGGATATTAAGCCAGACAATCTTTTAGTTACGGCCTCTGGCAGGGTGAAGATTGGTGATTTCAGTGTTAGCCAAGCTTTTGAGGTATGACCTTTTTCAACAATGGTTTTTTTGGCTTTATTAATTAAAAAGGAGCAATGGTTTTCTTCTGAATTTCCTTTTATGTAGATTCATGTACAAGGGTCTGTTTTTTAGTTTTTTTCTTCTTCATTTTTCCCACTGGGGAGGTAGGCTGTGGGTCTTTCAAAGTTGCGTGCTTCCCTTGACTTATTCGGCACGCAGCAAATGTTAGTCACTGTACTTCTGTAGTTTTGTCGTATCTGTTCTGCACTTACGGATTCTTGGTGTTTTCCCTGCATCTAGCTGTCGAAGACCTTGATCTGACTCCTTTCAATTTATTGTCCAAGCATCATTTTGTGAGCTGTTAGATATATGAGAGATGAATATGTATCTCAGGGATCACTGGCTCTGTTCAGCACATTGTTTGCATGGAAGCAGGGAGTGTGAATTGTGGGTCTAACTTCCACCTGCCTGCTTTCCCTGCTTTCTCTTTCTCTTTCTGATGTGATATGTTGCTCGGACCCTTCAAAATTCTTGCCACACCATCGATCCGACATGATTTGAGTGTCAGTGCAGGATCTGCACTGAATTTGGTGACCCTAACTTTGGTATTTTGACTACACCTGGGGCCAAGAAATATAGGCTGATTGGGTATTTGGTTTGATTTTAGGTTTGTCATATGTAAATTCAGTAAAGTACTAGAACACTTTGCTATTATACGAGATAATTTATATATAAAATATAAGCGTGTACAAAAAATGTAACTATACTAGCTTTAATTTAATAACTTCAATTAATTGTCAAATATATACTTTAAATGTCGTAGTTACATTTATTCTTGACTACATATTAATACCCCTACTCCCGAATCCGAAGATTAAAAAATACTAATACTATACTTGTATCAACTTATAATTACTAATAGTCATCTTTTGTTTAACTTAGTTAACAATAATGGATTCAAGTCACCATATTAATCAAAAAATAATTTTTTTTCCAACAATCTTAAACAACTAATTGTCATATATATTATTCTTATATACTTATTGGTCGTATCATAGCGCCCGCATCCATACTTTGACCCATATCCCCGAATCTTAAAATTTATGAGATAACGAATCCGACCTCTAGATCCATACATGTATCATATACCCCTACCCGTATCCGAGTAACATAACTGCCCTCAGGTTTTTTCCTGTCACCTTCATTGTTCTCTGGCAGCCTCTGCTGTACTCATCAATAATATGCATAAATTCCTTTTGCATTTGAAGGCCCTTGGGAGAGGGGGGCTCTTGATGCTGTTTATTTATATCCTTTTGTTCTAAATTCTGGGGCTGAAGGATTTAGGGTGATTGTTACGTTATATTTGCCATTATCTTATATTATTTTTTTCTCTTTCAGTTAATTGCTGACATTAGTGAACTGTTTTTTTGTAGGATGATAATGATGAGCTTAGGCGGTCTCCTGGCACTCCGGTTTTTACTGCTCCTGAGTGCTGTTTAGGTTAGAGTCTCCGGTCCTCCAAAATTGACATTTAAATAATCTTTTTACTTACTGAAGTGTTTTCTTCTTATTAATAGGACTAACATATCATGGAAAAGCTGCTGATACATGGGCAGTTGGTGTCACCCTTTACTGTATGGTTTTAGGAAAATACCCATTTCTCGGAGACACACTCCAGGACACATATGACAAGGTGAGGCCGTGAGGGTCAACTCTTGTTCCAGATGTATTATACAAGGTTAAGTCCTTAGTTTTCAAGCTTCTTTTAACACCCTTCATTTTGTATTCCCAGATAGTAAATAACCCCCTCGCTCTCCCTGATGGTATGAATCCCCCGCTGAAGAATTTGCTCGAGGGGCTTCTTTGTAAAGGTTCGTCTCTCATGCCACTGGCATTTGCCTTCTGCTGTCTTATTGCGGATGCTTTGAATTTGTAGAAAAGCATTCGGGTCAAGTTTTTATTTCTGTTATAATAATATATTGGGATTAAGGCGGGCTTAAACAAAGCTACATGGATCGTAATGATTCATATAGCCAACCCAACTAACTTGAGATTGAGGCATAGTGGTAGTTATAATATGTATTTTTTTCCCTCGGGGTTTTCCTAACAAGTACTGGCTTGTTTAGATCCAGCAAAAAGGATAACACTCAAGAGTGTGTCTGAGCATGAATGGGTTGTCGGAAATGAAGGTCCCATCCCTCAGCATCTATGTTGGTGCCAGCGCAAAAAATTACAAAAGGAAGAATCTGATGGGAGAATGGAGGATCAGAAAGATGTTCTGTGATTTTTAATTTATGTTTCTAGTTTTCGAGTTGTGTTTTTATGGAACGGGAGCTAGGATGTTTCTTCCAACAAGCTTTGTTTGTGAAAGCAAAAGAATACAGTTATACAGGCAAAATAACACAGGATAATAGAGCATGAGAGGTAAGAGGTCAAGTAAATTCTGTGATATTTCTAGTGTAGTTAGTACTGGAAGACAGACGACTTGTGCCTCAAATGCAAGAACGCTTTTTTCAGTCAAGAAGACAAATTATTAGGTGTTTCCTCGTTAAGAGAGAAGAAGAAAAGAAGGGGAAAGCCAAACAATCAAGTTCTCCTTTTGCTTTATCATAATCCCCTTGAAAAACATTTGGTTTCTCATACTCCCTCAGCCAAAGATCAGAGAAGGATAAATTCTACGAACATGTAAAGAAGGGACAACATTGTACCCAATAAATTTATAAGCCCAATATAGAATTCATAATAAGTTTTTTCTAATCTCCCTCTAGAAATGAATTCAAAAGTTAGAAATTATTAAGCTCTCGTATGGTCACAGATTTTGGCTTCATATTTTTTTTTAAAAAAAAAAATTGAGAACATTGTTTGTTTATGAAATATGATAATATTTTGGGAAAATAATTCAAAAAATTTCAAGTTATCAAATTCTGGTTTAGGGCAGTTTTTGGGTGAAATTTTTTCTTCCATTCACAAAACTTCAACTTTTCTTTAAATAAAATGTATGTTCAAACACAATTTTAACTTTCAAAAATTATTTTTCAATACAACTTTAAAAACTTTTTTTTCAATTTTTAATCAAATATATGTCCAAATGTTAGCTAAGTTTTGAGTTGAAAGTGTGGATTCTAAAATCTTTTTATCTTATTTTACTTGTAATTGTTTTACACATTTTTATAGAGTACAAGTCAGAAGAGGAGCTTGGAACAACATTAAAGTCGTTTTCATGTGAGCTATACGAGTTCACGTCGTGGAAACAACCATTAATTTTGCATTAATTATGCTGCCTATGATATTTCTCTATAGTTTCTGTGGTCAGCATTTACAGCTTTGTATTACTATGTGCTTTTAGAAATTATTCTGCACAATAAGACTACCAGATTGACATTTACTTGCATCAATGGACCACTCAACATAAAAGGTGAAGAAGGCCTTCAGTATCTGATATTATTTGCCTTCCCTTTCACTGGTGGGGCCGTTTAGAAATAAACCACCTGACATTACTATCATTCATATTGACAGAAAGTTCCTGTTTGGAAAGTTTGTTCTCGAAATTCGATTTTATCCTAAGTTCAAGATATGGTCTAAGTGGACGTTTGGACATAAGAATGGTAAAATTCCAAAAAAAGGTGAATTTTTTTTCAAGTGAACATGATATTTGAAAATTAGAGTTGTGTTTGGACATGAATATAATTTTGGGTTGTTTTTGAATTTTTGTGAGTCATCTGAGTGAAAAATTTGAAAAATAGCTTTTTGGAGTTTTTCAAATTTTTGAAAAAATCCAAAATTCATTTTCAAGTGATTTTTTTTTTTTGGCCAAACGATGATTTTGAAAAAAAGTAAATTTTTTTTGAAAACTTCTTATGTCCAAACGGACTCTTAACATTGCAAATTTTGTTTTACTCAAATTCAGTGTCTGCGCCAAGCAAACTAATACTATCACAAATACAACAACAACAAACCCAATGTAATCTTATAAGTGGGGTCTAGAGAGGATAGTGTGTACGCAGACCTTACTCTATCTTATAAAGGTAGAGAAACTGTTTCCGATAAATTATCGGCTCAAGAAATCGTAAATAATATCACAAATTCATCTTTTATATAAAAATTTATCACTTAATCATAATATATATCTTCATTTTAATTTTGCAACTATGATATTGCTAAATTGTTTTTCTTGGCATAAATAAGGAATCCGGATTAATATTTTCCTATTGGTTTACCTTTTCCCAATATGCAGTTGGTGGATAAGTTTTTAATGTTCTCAAAATTGGTGCCATTTGAATTCCTTATTGAATGAAGAAGCTATGTTACAATGGGCAATTTTTGAATGTACTTCATGCACAGGATTGGATGTCTCAGTCAATGACTGCATATTTGCCTGCCTCTGATTATTACTTCATCAGAAATGCTACATTTTTTTATACTTAAAACCAATTTAATCTTTATTATTTTCAACTTATTCTTAGTGACATGACTTGGTACGACCAATTTGATGTGAAACTATGCATTTTTATGTAGGGGGTAATATGAAAAACATGTGAAACTCTCACTAAGTCTCATTTAATTGTATGATGGGAATGACAATATTGGTACTTTATTCTTTAAATTTCGTTTAAGTACTGCCACCTAAAAATGGAATGGCATGTTGACCAATTTAATCATTGCAGCCTGTCTTGTCATTTGCATTCTTCATCTAATCTTACTTTTAAGCCTAATTATGTGAATTGAGTACCTTTTTAGGGTTGATGAAGCTTCTTATCAAGAAAGCTCCTTGCTTCTTTGCTTTTTCTTGCATTGCCTTTTCTTCCTTTTTGCTTTCTCTTTCTTTTTTCTACCACTGACAGGTAATATGACTCCCCCACAACCAAAAGAAAAGAAAAAAGAAAGATAAAGGAAATATTGAATTCAGACTGTACCTATTGAAGTAATATTTACTTTGCACAAAACTTAACAAGTAGAATCGACTTCAGACTTATCGGGTGTGAAGCTCAAAAAAAAATTAGTCTGAAGTGCAATGCATTTAAAGTCAATTAAGTCTAAAGTGTAAAAATTGCACTAAATATTTGAAGCCAAGTAAGTCTGAAATGCAATAAATATTTTCATGCACTTAAGGCCAAATATGTCTGAAGTGAAAAAAATACACTTTAGATGCACTTAATAGGGGTGTGCATTCGAATCGGTTTATCGATAAATCGAATCGATTATTTGTTATCGGTTTATCGATATCGGTTTATCGATATCGGTTTATCCATTTATCGATTTCGATTTCGAAATTTTCCTTATCGAGTTATCGATTTCGATTTCGATTTTGTCCTCTTCGGTTATCAGTTTATCGATAAACCGATAAGATATACTAAAAAAAATTTCTTTTTTTTATCCTTATTCTATAATACCCTTTCCTTTACCCTAAGTTCCTAACCCTATTATTTCATCTACCACATTTAAGGAATGATCATATTTAAAGCTCAAGGAAATGAAGTTCAAATTAATGGAAAATAGAATTAGCCGTGATGATGTATTTTTATTTTTTTTATACGGTTGGAGTGTTGGTGGTATATATTTGATCCCTTACTTTAGTTTCGTTGCATGTGCATGTTGACACAATTTTTATGTTATAAACGGTGTTCGTCTTATTTTAGCTTCTTTTTGTCCATATTAGTTAGGCGTGTTTATAGCAATATACTTCCCGTTGAATCCCGCAAATTTTCTTATTGGTGTAATCGATAACCGAATCGATAAGCCCCAAAAATCGATAAATCGAAATCGAAACCTTATTGAAACGATAACGATAAGCATATGTACAAATCGATAATCGATAAGTAATTATCGGTACGGGTCAAAATCGAATCGATAAATCGAATGCACACCCCTAGCACTTAAGGCCAAATAGGTCTGAAGTGCAATCAATGTTTTCATGCACTACCAAATAGGTTTGAAGTGAAAAAATTGTACTTGAGATGCACTTAAGGCCAAATAAATTTGAAGTGTAATCAATGTTTTCATACACTTAAGGCCAAATAGATCTGAAGTACAAATTGCCCAAAAACAGAAACTTGATCTTCAAATTTCAATAATCCTATATACGATTTAACACCTAAATTTACTCCAAATGAGCTTAAATTTGGAATATAACCCCCAAATATTATTAAGAACAAATTTCAATCATCAATTTGTCAAAATAATAATCAACAACAACGACAACAATAACAACATCAATCTAATCCCACATATTGGGGTTTAGGGAGAGTAGTGTGTACGCAAACCTTGCCCCTACCTTGTGGAGATAGAGATGTTGTTTCAAATAGACCTCGCTTAAGAAAGTAGAAGCACCACATTAATGAAAAGAAATAAAAAGGGACATCAGCGAGAAACCATGTAAAAGGTTGCATAAATAACAACATGATAGTAAGATGAATTTATCAAAATAATAATAAATCTAACAAACCATTTGCAATTAAGAAGAATTGGAAGAAACCCCAAGCAGTAGTTTAAAAAAAGCACCATAGCAACTCACCACTATAAAATACCATAAACCATCTTAAAACTGCTCACAAACACCATATAAATCACTGTCACCTTTATTTTAAGAAGAAGAAGAAGAAGAAGAAGAAGAAGAAAGAAGAAGAAGAAGAAGAAGAGGAAGAAGGAGGATGGGTAAGGGCCTGAAGTTGTTTGTACTTTGCTACTAATAAATAAAATTGTTTTTTTAAAAAAATAAGTACAAATTAAATGGGGGCGGCCAAAATAGAGCACCCCCCTCCCCCGCAAAAATTAGTTTGTAGCTATATCCACAACCACAAGCCCAAGGGGAAAAAATTAATGGTTTATTAATTTCAAACATAAAATACAGAAATATATTTTTTATATATAATTTATCCGTTGCAATTTCAATATTTTTTAAACTTATTTTCATAACCTAAAAATCAGTACAACTGTTGGAAATTAAACCAAGATTATGTAGTATTCCTATATTGTCTAGGATTTGGTATTTACTAGTTTATTTAATTTATGTCTAGTTAAGTTTTATTAACCATTATCATGTAGGAATAGGTTTTCTAGATTCTAGTCAAATTTGATTTTGTAGTATTATAAATAGGGGTACTATTACATATTTTCTATTGTGGAGAGGTAGCTACGATGTAGAGAGATTCATGAGTTTATGAGTTGTGAAAAAACCTCCTACCACGTTCTCTCCCTAGTTTAATAAATATCTTCTATATAGTTTTTGCTGAATTTTTTGCTTGTGCCTAAATTATTCTTCGGGGTATTTTAATCCTTTAAATTGGCATCAGAGCCTGCGTGAGATCCTGTCAGCCAGTAGGAGATCCAAAAAAAAATTATGCATACTCTATTATTCGATTATCCCATTTTTGTGTTTGATAGCAAAAATAATTTTGAAATTTGATATCAACTGATGAAGAATTTTTTTAAGGATATTGGATTATGGTCCACCATTGATAAAGCATTTGAGGAACCCCAAAAGGTACAACGTTGACGGTTGATGCAGCTACACAATTGGAGAAGAAAAGACATTTAGATTATAAGGCACGCTATTATCTCGCTATTAAGGTCGAATTGTATGTATCTAAAAAATATTTGCATGCAAAATCATCAAATGAGGCTTGGACAATATTGGTGAAGTCATATAGAAAAGTTGCTGACATAAAGAAGGAGAAACTTCAAGAGTTTAAGAGTCAATTTGAGTTGGCTCGTATGCGACCAATAGAGTCTGTCAAAGAATCTTTTACAAGAATTGAAGAAATAGTCAATGGTTTATGGGCCAATGGAGAAGCATTGGAAAAAGTTAAAAATTATTGAAAAAATATTACAGTCTCTAAGTTTAAAGTTTAGCAATAAGAAAGTTATTCTTGAGGCTACCAAAGATTTTAGCACTTTCGGACTTGATGATTTAGAAGGTGAATTGGTAACATATGAGAGATTATTGAATCAACAGAAACATGAGACATTGGAGGAGGCATCACAAAAAAAGGATTATCAGCCAAACGAAAAAGAAGACACATCAAAGATGACGAAAATAAATCAAGAAGGCCAAAATTTAGAAACAGCGGAGAAAAGAAGAGAAGGTACATGTAATTTTTGTTGTGATAGAGATTCTATTAAATGCGCAGGAAATCAAATAATATTCAGCCAAAAAGTTTTCCGGTTGATAAAAAGGAAGATTTGGTTGCAAGGGATGTCCGTCCAAATGAGGTTGGTGTTTCACTAGAAAAATTATTTGATGGTATTGAAGATGAATATAGTAATGAAAAAAAGCAAGAGAGTTCATCAAGAGAATGTTTCTGATAATCAACACAAGATTGAGGCAGAAATGGCTTGGGATCCAGAACTACAACAAAATATGATTATAGATATTGAGGATGCAATAAATTTTGTGCCATTGCTCGAGATTACTTGTTTCAAGAAGCATGACGAAATGTTTATTGGTGGCATAACTATACAACCTATAGTATATTCAATTGGAGTTGAATAGGTGTACAAGTCCAACTACAAGGCAACTAGAGAAGTAGATAATTTCAAAGTAAGAGAAAATTATATTGATGATATTTTGAAGGGATTTACCATGAAAAGAGAAATCATATATGAGCAATATTCAAGATAAATTGAAGTTGACTAAAGATAGTACTCGTGATTTTATTGATGCTACATATTTTAGGAAATTGGTGAAGGGTCTAAGGTACTTGACTTCTACAAGGCTTGATGTTACTCATAGCATGCCCAAGTTTGAAGATCTTCGTTTAAGGGAGGCTGTTGGAAATTAAACCAAGATTATTTATATTCCTAAATATTCTAGGATTTGGTATTAACTAATTTATTTAATTCATGTCTAGTTAGATTTTATTAACCATATTCATGTAGGAATAAGTTTTATAGATTCTAGTCAAATTTGGTTTTGTAGTATTATAAATAGGGGTGCTATTACATATTTTCTGTTGTGGAGAGATAGCTACAATGTAAAGAAATCCAAGAGTTTATGAGTTGTGAAAAAGCCTCCTACCACGTTCTCTCCCTAGTTTAATAAATTTCTTCTATATAGCCTTTGCTTAATTTTTTACTTGTGCCTAAATTGTTCTTCGGGTATTTCAATCCTTCAACAACTCTTAACGGTTCAATTAGTTTAATCAATTTTTGAATATTCATTGATACCCTAAAATAAATTATCCTACCTTCACATATTATTTTATTTGATAATAAAGGAAATGAAAAAGATAACAAGATCAATGACGACACAAAAATTATTTTGACATAATTTTTGAACAAAATCAATGACGACACAAAAGAAAATGAAAAAGATAACATAACAAGAAAAGAAAGTAGTGTTTGTGCTAACAAAATCGAGTATAATGCGTTACACGTGTATAGCTAATCAATCTGTTGACTAATCCCAAACACAAAAAGAGTGTTTTGACAGAGATGAGAGTATAACAGATCACTGCATATCCCTTTCTTTGGAAATAGACTTTTCTTGTCCATACTGTTCTTTTTCTTTTGTTAAAGGATAGATATATGATACTCCCTCGGTCCACAAATAAGTAGATTACTTTCCATTTTTCTAAATTTTTTTAGTAATCTTTTAAGTTAAATTAGATTAGATTAATTTGAAAATTTTATAAACTAAATTTAAATATTAAAAGTTATACAATAAGTACTATAAGATGCAATTTTTTTCGTGCCAAAAAAATAAGCTATATTAATTATTTTCTTTGTTTCAATTTGTTTGAACCTTTTCGCAATGCGAGAGTTAAATTGACTAATTTTTGGTATGAATTCGGACGCGAATTCTTAAAATATTTTAAAATTAAATTTATATATTTAGAAAATATATAGAAAATACTTTAAGTCACAATAGTTAACCATTTAAAATGTTCAAAAACTATTTGCAAAAAAATGGTCGAAGAAAACCTTATCTGACCCCCTAAATAGTATTTCCTCTGTTTAAAGAAGACTTGAGCTATTTTCTTATTAATCTGTTTCGAAAAGATTGACAATCTTTCAATATTTTCTTAATATGAAACAGTTATAGCCACACAAATATTATGGTAGGTTTTACACCATAAGTTTTAAAATTTTTATAGTCATACAAATGTTATAACTTATTTAAAATCACACATATCAAAAGTCTTTTCTTATTTATTAAAATTTGTACCAAGTCAAAACTATGATACACGTTTGAAGCGGAGGTAGTAATAAGTTCATTCTTTGTGATATGGGAGAAGTATACATAAAATTAAATCTCTAATCCTCCTAATCAAACACGTGTATTATTTTATACAAAAGTTTATGTTATAATTATTGTTTTTAATTCCACCAACCAAACATTATTTAGAAGGTGGCATTATTTATTAGTTGCATGACTAGCCCCATAGAAATTTGAGTGAGCATCAAGTGATAGTGATGAGTGAAGTAAGAGTGCACTTTGTGGAGTGGATGAGACCCGTGGCTGTCGCATAAATATGTCGTGTAAGGCTCTTTACTCTTCCCTTTCTCATTGATGTGAAAGGACTAGGCCATATTTATTACTACAAGTATACCAACTAACTAACATTCTATTATTATAAAAACCTCCATCACTTCTTTTGCTTTCATTCTCTTACCTCCAACTTGTTAATTCTGAGTTGCTACTAGACTTAGAAATATCACAACTACCATCTTGTTTTTACAAACTATGGTGTTTTTTCATTTCTCTGAATTGGGTTCTGTTTCTTTTTAGATCATGAGCTGTGAAGAGAAGGAAAAGTCCATGGCTGAGGTGTATGATGAGTATGTGAGAAGTAAGGCTTGTGAAAGAGTTGTCAAACCAATCCCTAAGGTGAAAGACAAAGTAATTTCTGCTTTATGTTTGATCTGTCTTCATCCCCCCCCCCCCCCCAATTACTTGGCTTATTGTTTTCCTGTTCTTTTTGGTTCGGGAAGGGAAGAAGATGAAGGGAAAATGGAAAGGGAACTTATGCGGTTCTTGTTTCTTTATGCATTTTGTCATTATTGTGTTTTACTTATATTGAATAACAGGTAAAGTTACCCTCCATAGGACCAGGAGGTCACGAGTTAGAGCAGTAGAAACAACCTCTTGCAAAATTGCCGTAACCCTGCACATAACGAGAGCTTAGTGCATCGGGTTGCCTTGTGTTTTCCTGAGATAATAGTATACAATGTAATTTTCCGGGCAGAGGTATGCCTTCGAGACAGAAGGGAGGGTGGAGAGTGAAGAGGGAGAAAGAGAACCTTCTCTGGTGGTGAACCTCCAAAGTCAATGGGTTACAATTGTTAGAATGTACTAAAATAAGGTTCTTGGTTAAACTCATCATTGATTAAAATGAGTATTTATATAAGACATCCATTTTAACTACCATATTAGATTATTAATTACTTCTATCTGAGATGAACCTTGTGAGTTCTCTTCATCAAGCGATGGAGAGTGAATATACCTGCCTTCATATGTTGTAATCTGGGAAAATCTTCTGTACAACGATATTGCTCCTGCGAGAGTCCCTAGCATATTAGCATAGACTCTAATTATTTAATTTGTTCAGTATAGGATAACAAGAGAATTATTGGATTAATTCTGCAAGTTGGCCGTAGAACTCCAGTATAGCAAATAAGCACGAAATAACTGCTTAGAGAGTTAAGGTTACTATTTTTCTCCAAAAAAGACTGTTTATAAGGGAAGGATTTGGTGATGCTGTAGGAACAGAATGTGTATTAGTATATCATATAAATGATTTTTTGTACATTGTCTTTTGAAAATTGAGTATTGTATCTTTCTAAAGTCTTCTTAAATGTGAAAAATTACAGGAGAGGGTGAGCTACATCAACCCTTTGCCTAGGAACGAGAAATCACGAAGAAACATATCTCTTCCTTTGTTTAAATTCAATTCAACGGCATTGAAACATCCCAATGTTATATTGAAAACATATCCTTTTTTCAAATAGGTGCAATACTACATAGCCACAATGATGGATTGTGGTTCTGTTTCTGCACATGCTTGTACATATAATCTGCTCTTGTTTCTAATACAAAGACCAACCAATACAAAGAACATACCGCTCTTGGTTCTCCTGGAGTGATGTCAGAAAGCTTCTATAATGTGGAGCAAAGCGTGGAAACAACTCTTCTCAATCAAGATCTCAAGGCCTTGATCAGAAGCGGAGCCAGGATTTGAAACTTATGGGTTCAAGATTGTAATCCTTTTAAGTTACTGAGTTCTAAATAATTATTTGTAGCTCCACCCCTGGCCTTGATAGAGATTAGAGCTACAACTCTCACATATCCATAGGAAAACATTTTGTGTCATCGAGTTCTGGAATTTTTCTTTCTGTTTCCTGATAACATAATGCTACGGAGATTTGATCTCTGGTAGTCTGTAAGTCGTACCAGCTTTCTTTAGTCTATGTTTTTGTTCGCTTTAAATGTGCTTGTTTACTGAGGTGGATCCTGTATAGAGGTAGTAGTGTAACGTACTCCTGCTGTCTCAGCGTCGGCGTATGGATTTGTACAAATAATCTGAGGAAATTTTTAAAGATGCGTATAGATAATAAATGGTGCATCCACTTTCATTAATTTTGCAGCTGCCTCTTTTTCTTGTAAGACAACTTATATAAGAAATCATCTGAGTGGTGACATACCACTTCCAAACCATTCAATGCTGAAAGGAGATAGCAACTATCACATAACACCAACTAGATGTTTCTTTAAAAATTGGTCAAGCGAGGCTCGTTCATCTGCAGAAATTGAGCCGATTCTTGGATCAGTCTAAATCTTTTAAACTAGTAGATTGTCTCTGTATTGGAAGACTTCTTTCTGTTATGATTTCTTCAAAGTTGCACATATTCGCTAATGTAGTTTGGAGCGTTATGATTTTAATTGTCAGTGGAGATGTTGACCATGGTCTTTAAGAGCAATGCTTCTGGTCTCATAGATTGATAGGACTACTTGTTAGCTTATGCACCACTTCACTGACAATAATATGTGCGTCTTTCTTTTTCAGGGAGAAAGTTCCTCGGGGATTACTGAAGAAGCAACACATGGTAAACAATGGAGGAGACCAAATCTATTTGTGGAGATACCTTCCAAATCATCGGATGCCTCCAATCAAGAGTTCGTGCAGGTTAAAATGCTTCCAACACCGACACCTACACCAAAAAGGGTGAATTTCCTTTTGACACCTAGTTCTTCTAATTCAAGAGCAAACGCGTTTCCTAGTCCCTCCTCATGCAGAAGCAAATCATCCATTAGGAATCTTTTGCCGAAACTAAGCTTCAAATCACGTAATACAAATTCAGATACAGAAAAGGCAGCCTTATCAGATGAGAAGGTGTCCATATCAAGGTCTTGGTCATTCTCTAAATTATTTACACCACGAGTGAAGAGGACTTCATCTTTACCCGTTACACCAATCGAACATCCAAATCCAGAGTCTGCTAGTGGAAGTATCAGCAGAACCATGACATTTGGTGTAAGTTCTCTGTGCAAAGTTGATTGACTTCTTATATATTGTGTTATTGGTAATTTCTGGTTCTAATATTGGAAGTTGACCATAGAATGACTCCGACCAGAGACTGCTGCAAAGCACAAAACATAAAACCAAGTACCTAGTTTAGTTTCATGACCTATGTCGAAAGAATATTACTTATGGAGTTTCATGTAGAAAATCTCCCAGAACTATACACTGTCAATTAACGGAACCTTAGCAAGGTTCTTAGACTTATCAACATTCATGATAACCATGCACTAGGAACACATAATGGTGAGAGTGTCGAAAGGCCCCAACCATCGAAAAGCAAAATAAGGAGGAACAATAAAACCTTTATCTTGGATGTACACTGAGGTTGTCTACAGAATGTTTCATGTAGTACTAGCATATGTGCTGATATTCTAGGAGATGGTGCTGCTCATTCCTTAATTTATTACAAGAATCAGGGCATCCATCTAGATACTATTTTAATCTAAAGCTAAATGCAGTGACTAGGAAAGAGTTCTTACATGTTTAAGGCCTGTAGTTGCTGTTGTCTGCTCTCAACGATTTTGTGCAATCTTTTGAAATATGATTTGTCATTATTGTAGACAAAAGAAGCACATATGCGCATTTCTAGATCACTTTCTCTCCCGGTCATTAACAAAGAACGAAGGACTAGGAGAGTAGAATCTTTCTTTCGAGTTGTTTCAACCCCTCAAGTGAAGGATGGGAATTCCACAGTTCCAGCTGCAACTCCAACCAAAGTATCTGGTAAACAACTGCTTATATCATCCAGTTTATTATTGGGATAATTACCTTAATTGGGCTGTCCTCCAAAATAATAGCCGGTAAATGTATATATTTTGTATATGTTGGCTAGCTTCTGGAATTAATTTCGACCGACAGGTCATAAATGAAAAAAAATCCCTTTATTATTTGGTTTATAAGCAATCACGAGCTCTGGAAGTTGTGATAGGGCTTCCTCTGTTCTCATTGATTTCCATCTTCTGCATATATGAGCACTACACGTGCCGCCACCAATATCTAATGTATGTGGTGTTTCTCAGACGATAATGAATCAAATGGTGAAGATATACCTGAAGAGGAAGCTGTTTGTCGCATATGCCTGGTTGAATTGTGTGAAGGTGGGGAGACACTCAAGATGGAATGCAGCTGCAAAGGTGAACTTGCTTTGGCTCACCAAGAATGTGCTTTTAAATGGTTCAGCGTAAAAGGTAACAGAACGTGTGACGTCTGCAAGCAAGAAGTTCTAAACCTACCTGTCACACTACGTCGCATCCAGAGTGCAAATGTGGGATCTAATAGGTTCCAGCACTTGGAAATAAATGGGTACAGGTGAGTGTTATTTGTTCTCGTCTTTATGGGCTAAGAGAACCGAGATATCTCTTCTAGTTTCTTGTTGACACGAGCTACTTATACAAGGGGCTAAAAGATTAATCCAGCTTCAGTTTTCTCTTCACTGGGAAGATGATTTACTATAAGCTATATCTACTGATGACTCATAGCGTGTTTAATGTTGAATTAAAGAATCGTGTCTTATTAGTACTTTTATTGCTCAGCGCCGACAAAGAAGACTATTTCCTTTTGAAATGGACAAAGCAGACTACTTTTGTTGTATTTTCTGGTTCCTCTCTTTTTATCCCAGTTTTTTCTTTGGACTAGAACTAGTTAAATCTGAAACTATGGTAAGATTAGAGTGTAATATTTTTGAGACCTAAAAATTAATATTCTTGTTAACAAATTACTCAACTGATTCAGCTTCTGAAATTTGCTGCATTATACAGGGTTTCACAGGAACTACCCATTCTTGTCATTGTCAGCATGCTTGCCTACTTTTGCTTTCTTGAGCAGCTTCTGGTAATTTTATAAGGTCTTCATAAAAGAAACAGCCCGTCATCAATATCGTATTGATTTACTATTGTCCCATCTGCAGGTTGGAACAATGGGTACCGGTGCAATTGCTATATCAGTTCCCTTTTCTTGTGTACTAGGTCTGCTTTCATCTTTGGCATCTTCAACCATGGGTATGTCGTCCTCTGCTTAGGTGGATCATTTTAAAAACTTTGATCAAAGTATATATATAGCTTCAAAGGATGTATAAGTACTAATCAGTACTCCCTCCGGACTTTTTATCCATCACTTTAGCCAAAAATAAATTGTTCCAAAATGTTTGTCGCTTTCGAAAACCAAGAAGACATTGACTCCTTTTTTTTTTTTCAATTCCACCTTTACTACTCTACGAAGGCATATAGTCATTAATTACTAATTTAAGGAAGAGACACGGGCAATTTAGTCAAATACCCATATGATTAACGTTTTAAAATGATTTTCTTAAAGGGTGTGCCAAAACTTTAAACAACTGATAAGGAGGATCCGAAGGAGTATAATTTCGATTGGTGTGGGGAGGATCAACTGATTGTTGCTTGATATAGTCTCTTTAATACAAAAAAGCAATAAGGTAATTTGAAAATCTATTAGTTTGTGTTTATAAGACTTAGATATAGTTGAAAATGTATCTGAGACATGGCAACACCTTAAAAAGCAGCAAAATACAATCTTCACTTGGCAATTTCATGACAAATGCTGCTAAAAAATCTTATGCTCGGTGTCTTTCTTTTTTGTATACTGACATAATCTTTGTTTTTTTTTGGCAGTGAAGAGAAGGTTTGTCTGGGTTTATGCATCAGTTCAGTTCATCCTCGTGGTATTCTTTGCTCATATGTTCTATTCCTTGGTAAGATATTCCTAATCACATCATTCTTAAATGTGAGGATCTGAATGAATTACGGACATTATGTTGGACCAGAGGCCGATTCAGAATTTAAATTTTATAGATCAAACTTCAAGTTCTTACTATTGAATCCATTTAACTTTTGAAATTTTGGATTCAAAAGTTGACACTTATTTAAATTTTAGGTAAATTTTTAACATACGCATATTTATGTTCCGTGTCAAAAATACTGGAATATGATCAAGGCCGCATCCACCTATCTGGACCTGTAAAATGTTATTAGTATATGTTTTCAGGTTCATGTACAAGCAGTTCTTTCAATACTTCTCTCAACATTTGCTGGTTTGGGGGTTGCAATGGGTGGATGTTCCATAGTTGTCGAGTTCCTTAGATGGAAAAGGCGGCGACAACTATTATTAGATATGCAGCAAAATTCTCAGCTGAATCAAACAGCAGCATCGTCCCACACAGATCGTCAACATAATCAACCGGATATAGAAAATCCGGCGACATTTAGTGGGAGCTAGATAGTCAATTATGTCATAGCAGCAGTTTAAAAGGCATTTAAATTCATAGTTGTTGTAGGAAATGGCTTGTTGCGTATATTTTGAAATTTACTTATTCTGCACTGAGAAGTAGAAATGTTTATTGTACTACTCTGGAAGCTTAGATTGAAAAAAAAGCTTCCATTATAAGCAAAAGAAAAGATATAAAGAGCAAGAAAAAATTGTCAGGGTTCCACCTGTTTTTTGCTGTGTGTTTTGTACAAGAAAAAACATTTTGTAAAGCCCTGAGTTTTCTGAACTTTCACGTGGACTAATTAATGTTACATGTAATTAACAAGGTATGGAAGGATCAAATTGGTGTCTTATTCCATGTGGTGATACATATATATTGTTACGTAACGCCTTCCTGATATTCTTTGGAAGGGCAACGTAAGGCTAAGCAACCGATGTCAGTGCGGTTGCTGTCCGCCAATGAGGTCCCCTCCGCACGCTAGACTAGATTGTCAGTGCCGTGCGGGAAAACCAATGTCACGAGCAATTGCGGAAGCTGAGAAAGAATTGAGTTTTGAATAATGATGATGATTTTATTGATGACTGAGATGCTGATTACAAAAGATGCGGTGTCGAGGGGGAGAGACACCAGAAAATTGCTTGCTTGAAAATGTTTGATTGTTTGGTCCCCCTTAATAATGCTTAAAAAAAATAAAGCAACATTACATGACTCGTCCTAATAAAGCTGTAGAAGCACACTGAATGAAAATGATGTAAACTAGCCTATAATTACAATGAAAAGGACTTAGTTTATTACAATGTAGAACCAAGTCTGATGGCAGCAACTTTGTCTTGCGGGTCAGGGTCTGCGCGCGTGTAGCTGTGGGCGCGCGCTACACTTGCTGTGTTGGCCTGAGGCTGGGCGCTGGTGCTTGGCATCAGGGTCTGTGCGCGAGGCGCTGCTGGAATGGGCCTGCAGCTGGGCGCTGCCGAGGCATCAGGATCTGCGCGCGCGACATTGTCAGGGCGCGCGACGCTGTTGTCATTGGCCAGCTCTTGGGCGCTGGCGAGAGGCATCGATGGGGCGACAGAGGCGCATGCGCGCTTGTCACTTGGCG